CTAGCCCACACCACGGTGCAGGGCGCAGGCTGCCAAGACCTCGCTGGCCGCCTCCTCCTCACCCTCAGCCTGCCCAGGACAGGGAGAGGAGCCCCCACCCTCCCTCCCGGGCCAGGCCCAGGACCCACCTCCCACCACTGGGACTCGGGGTCTCCTCTCAGCAGCTCGATCACGTCCCCCGTCTGGAAGGTCAGCACAGGCTTCCCGGGAGGAGCAGGGTTGCCATGGTAATTCTGCACGGCCACCATCTTGGGACCTGTGGGGACAGGGTGGGGTGGCGGGAGTTCACTTGGTGACTTCATCCCGGCTGGCAGCCCACCCCACCACAGAACTCGGCCTCCGTCTGGGGGAGCCCTTTAGCAAGAGACACCCCCAGCACACCCAAGCCTGAATCATCCCTCCCCAAATTCCTCCCGTAAGGTGTCCGTGTCGTTTTGACAAATGTCATAAGCAAATTTATGTGATGAACAGATGCAGGGTGTCATTGTGGTCACAGCAGCTTATTTCTGAGGGCACATCACATGCTATCTTCAAATCACCGGTCCAGCCTGGGGCCAGGGGAGCAGGGGACGGGGACCCATGTGTCGGAGATGGGATGACAGGGCTGGGGGCCAGTGACTTGCCAGGGGCCACACGGCTGGTCAAAGACCACTCAGGGCCTGCAGCATGGGTCCTGGCTGAGCCCCCAGAGGACCTGCAGCCACTCTCGGGTGGGCCCAGCTCTGCCCCCACCCCGCCCCGCCCACGGCTCTCAAAGGGCCGAGTCACCCCAAGCCCGACTCCCGCCAGCAGTAGCAGCGGCAGGTTTTGGTTTTTCCCGGCGAGAGTCAGATTTTATCCAGCCTGCCCGGACTGCACTGAAGGTTTCACACACCACGATGCTTTCTACCCTCAGAATGTAAAAGCCGAGTTCCCGCCGTGCCGTCCAGAGCAAGGGGAGGAAATGGCAGAGTGATGCACTGATGCCGGCTCTGCTCCGGGGCTCTGGGCACGGCCTGGTGCCTCGCCCTGGGGTGCAGGACCCTGACCTCCTGCAGGGCCCTGGGGGAAGGCAAGGACAGTGCCTGGTGGCCCTGGGGTGCAGGACCCTGACCCCCTGCAGGGCCCTGGGGGAAGGCAAGGACAGTGCCTGGTGGCCCTAGGGGCAGGCAGGGACAGTGCCTGGTGGCCCTGGGGGCAGGCAGGGACAGTGCCTGGTGGCCCTAGGGGCAGGCAGGGTCAGTGCCTGGTGGCCCTGGGGGCAGGCAGGAACAGTGCCTGGTGGCCCTGGGGGCAGGCAGGAACAGTGCCTGGTGGCCCTGGGGGCAGGCAGTGACTGTGCCTGGTGGCCCCTGGGGGCAGGCAGGGACAGTGCCTGGTGGCCCCGGGGGCAGGCAGGGTCAGTGCCTGGTGGCCCCGGGGGCAGGCAGGGACAGTGCCTAGTGGCCTGGGGGCAGGCAATGACTGTGCCTGGTGGCCCCTGGGGGAAGGCGTGGGCCTGTCCCCACGGCCCCGCAAGGCTGTACCAGACACTCCAGGGCAGTGGCCACAGACGAGGGAGAGGCAGGCGGGAGGGGCCCGAGGCGGGACAGGTTCGGGGAGCCGGGAGTGGGGGACGGCCGAGCAGAGCCGGCAGCACCAGGCCCCGCCCCGGCCGGGCTCCCGGCACGGCTGACGTGGACACGGAGGGCCAAGGCCAGCACACTCACCTGGTCCCGCTCCAGAGGCGTCCTGCGAGGACAAGGACAGAGCACGGGATGAGGGCCAGCTGCTCCCCGACCTCCGACCCCAGCATCGGCCCTCCCTGCCCCCACACACTCCCAGCTAGAGGTGGAGGCAGGGAGCGGTGTGTGGGGGGGTCTGCTTCCTGCACGACACCCCTCCAATATCCTCAGGCGCACCCTCCACCTCTGCACCCCTCCCCTCCCAGGAGGACGCACGGGCTCCCTCTCCTCCAGGAAGCCGGCCCTGACCACCTCCACGACTGGGCCTTGCGGCTCCGCCTGGGTCTCCCTCCCCCAGAGGCATCTCTGCGCCCCGCGAGGGGCCCGGCAACTGCCCCTTAAATGCTGGCTCACTTGGACCCTGAAGCTCGGGGACACACAAGGTCCCTGTGAGCGAATCCGGTGACTTCATCCTCAGGTCAGCCAAACCGAGGGCTCGGAGCCACACGGGGACTTGGGGGTGGGGGCTGGCACGTGCCCAGAGCTGCACCCACAGCCACAAGCAGGACTGGGGACAGCTGGGACAGGAAGACGCCACCAGGGCCCAGGACGTCCACGAAGGACAGGACCCACGGTGGCACATCCACACCAGCGAGTGGGCAGTGACAACTGAACACTGATCTTCCTGGCTCCAGCACACGGCCGTGGGGGGACGGGGGGCAAGGCGGGGGACGGACAGAGGGGCAGTTTGGGGGACTTACCAGGTCTGCCGGAGAACCTGGAAAGGAAGGGAGCCAGGTGTGAGGGGGACCGAGACACCGGGCCCGTGGTGGCTCTGGCTCCCGCCAACGGGGGTGCCTGGGCCGAGCCTGGGCCGAGCCTGGCTGTCAGTGAGCCAGGCGTCCATCCAGGTGGTTGCTTTGGGACGCGGATTAGGGACACGCAGACCTGAGCTCACGGCTATGAGCCTCTCAATGACTTCTGAGAGCACATTCTGAGCTCTGGATTTAGGGGCTGGCAGGAGAGCTCAGGGGGGTGGCAGCCCCAAGAAGGCAAACAGTGGCCCTGCCCAGGTGCAGCAGCTGCCCCATCACCAGGTGGCACCTGGGGCTCACAGGGCAGATGTCCACAATCGATTAGCAATGCCTGCAGGGGCAGGTGAAGGGGAGGTGTGGTGCTCATGCCGCCTATCCCTGTCCTCACCTTAGACACAGGCGCCCACACGCCCAAGGACTCGGGGCCCCTCTGCCGGTCAGATGGACGGCAAACGCTCCGAAGACTCTTTCCCCCCGGCCATCTGCCCAGCCGGCTGCCACCCCACCGCCAGACAAGGCAAGAACTCCAACGGCCAGCACACGTGGCAGGTGTGACCTAACGTCACCTAACACTCACTGGTGCGGGCTGTTCTGTGCCCACACGGGGCACAGAGGCTGCAGCTCTGTGGACACAGGGACACAGAGGCAGGCTGTGTGCCAGGGTCACCTGTGAGAGGCATGGCCGGGGACACAGGGCAGGTACTCACTGATCTTGCAGGGAGGCATCACC